GCCTCCCCACACCACGCCGTCATGGTCGCGATAGCTGCTGATCCACTTGGAGCGGACGCGTCGAAAGAGGTTGCTTCGTTGAGCTATCATTTGTGGCTACTGCAAAATAAACTAATCGCTCGGAGGGGGGAGGGGGGTTACCTGATGACATAAACAATATCTACACTAGGGGGGACCTCATTTGCCAGTAAAAATATGATAATTGGTTCTTTACCCTTCTATCTGGCAACAAAACTGACACCTTTTTGCAAGGAGTCATGTTTGCATAGACCGCAATACCTGCAGTCATAATACAAACAAAAGAACATAACTCTGATAATGTGCACTGTCCTTGAAGTTGATTGGTCACACCCGATGACAGCTTTCCTTCGAGCCTAGTCTCATATGGGTTGGGACCAGATGACGCCAAAAGGCGCACAACTCAAGGACAATGCACCATCAGAGTATGAGAGCTCGGGGCAAGCATCTACACTATGGGGACCTCATTTGCCAGTAAAAATATGATAATTGGTTCTTTACCCTTCTATCTGGCAAGAAAACTGAAACCTTTTTGCAAGGAGTCATGTTTGCATAGACCGCAATACCTGCAGTCATAATACAAACAAACGAACATAACTCTGATAATGTGCACTGTCCCTGAAGTTGATTGGTCCACACCCGAGACAGCTTTCCTTCGAGCCTAGTCTCATATGGGTTGGACCAGATGACGCCAAAAGGCGCACAACTCAAGGACAATGCACCATCAGAGTATGAGAGCTCGGGGCAAGGCATCTACACTATGGGGACCTCATTTGCCAGTAAAATATGATAATTGGTTCTTTACCTTTCTATCTGGCAACAAAACTGACACCCTTTTTGCAAGGGAGTCATGTTTGCATAGACCGCAATACCTGCAGTCATAATACAAACAAAAGAACATAACTCTGATAATGTACACTGTCCCTGAAGTTGATTGGTCCACACCCGAGACAGCGTTCCTTCGAGCCTAGTCTCATATGGTTGGACCAGATGACGCCAAAAGGCGCACAACTCAAGGACAATGACCATCAGAGTATGAGAGCTCGGGCAAGCATCTACACTATGGGGCAAGCATCTACACTTTTGCTGGCAAATGAGGTCCCCATAGTGTAGATGCTTGCCCCGAGCTCTCATACTCTGATGGTGCATGTCCTTGAGTTGTGCGCCTTTTGGCGTCATCTGGTCCAACCCATATGAGACTAGGCTCGAAGGAAAGCTGTCTCGGGTGGGGACCAATCAACTTCAGGGACAGTGCACATTATCAGAGTTATGTTCTTTTGTTTGTATTATGACTGCAGGTATTGCGGTCTATGCCAACATGACTCCTTGCAAAAAGGTGTCAGTTTGTTGCCAGATAGAAGGGTAAAGAACCAATTACATATTTTACTGGCAAATGATGTCCCATAGTGTAGATGCTTGCCCCGAGCTCTCATACTCTGATGGTGCATTGTCCTTGCGTTGTGCGCCTTTTGGCGTCATCTGGTCCACCCATATGAGACTAGGCTCGAAGGAAAGCTGTCTCGGGTGTGGACCAATCAACTTCAGGGACAGTGCACATTATCAGCGTTATGTTCTTTTGTTTGTATTATGACTGCAGGTATTGCGGTCTATGCAACATGACTCCTTGCAAAATGTGTCAGTTTTGTTGCCAGATAGAAGGGTAAAGAACAATTATCATATTGTACTGGCAAATGAGGTCCCCATAGTGTAGATGCTTGCCCCGACGCTCTCATACTCTGATGGTGCATTGTCCTTGAGTTGTGAGCCTTTTGGCGTCATCTGGTCCAACCATATGAGACTAGGCTCGAAGAAAGCTGTCTACGGGTGTGGACCAATCAACTTCAGGGACAGTGCACATTATCAAGTTATGTTCTTTTGTTTGTATTATGACTGCAGGTATTGCGGTCTATGCAACATGACTCCTTGCAAAAAGGTGTCAGTTTTGTTGCCAGATAGAAGGGTAAAGAACCAATTATCATTGACATAAACAAAGTTTAGTTGTATTTCTATATTATTTTTTTAAAGTGATTTGCTTACCTTTCCTAGCACTCCTATCGTGTGTTTGCACTGTTTGTTGTTGTAACATTCCTACCCCGTGCCCCTGCTGGACACCTGTGAAAAAGTGCTTCATAGCTCATCGGATTTACTCCTGCAGTATGAATAAATATTCAGATTCTGATCTGACTAACTGTGATGACTTATTGATGCTGTTTGGAGGACAGAGGATGTGGGTGGTGGTAGTGGAGATTTAAGAAAAGTGTGACTGTTGTTTCAACTGGAGAGTTAAACTTAAACTAACCTATTTTTACACGCTTTCATTTAACTCGCTCTGTGTTGTTGTTGTCATTGTTGTATCCTCAAATCTTGTAACTCAATTTTAACCCACTTCCCAATGTGGTATCGACTGCAAACTTGGTATACTTATGTCATACTGATGACAAGACGATATTCTATCATTAAAAATAAAAAAAGATATATTTTCAAACATTATTTTTTAAATGTTATGTTTCGGCTTGGGTCTAATTGTCCACGCTCAACTTGACATTGGCTGTAATTGCCCACGTTCCCTTACGTTATGGCAAGCTTCGGGGCCACTTCCTGGAGTCGTGGAGTTCTTCCATTACTCATTTCATAAAGCGTGTTTTAAAAAAGTTTTTTTTACAAATATTACTTATTTTTATTCTACCAGGTAAGACCTACTGAGCTATGTAGCTCTTGTGTCAAAAGGGACCTGGCGATCACGAAGGAAAACTCAACGAAGCGGCTTCACATCGTGTGGAAATTTATAGCAGGAACCAAGTACTCGGAATGCACGTTGATTCTAAATTATGAGAAAAACTGGAGGACACAGCGACAAATCCACGCGACCACAGGAAGAGAGAGAGACGCGCAATCTTCAAATATACAGCAGCAGGCGTCAGGGTCGGGATCGAACCCACGACCTCCTGCACACCAGGCGAGGTAGTTAACATCTCCTAGCCACCCGCAGCACCCAGACACATATCAACGCCAATACCAACAACACCGCCGCTACCGTCGCCACCACCACACCCAGCCAAACAGCGCTAATCACACTCTCGTAATGCGGCAATTTATAGCAATCGTCCATCGCAGAGTGATGTAGGGCTCAGGTGGCTCGTTTTGAAATTGGCTCGATGATCACAAAGAGCCGGGGCGTTGCGCTGTCGCGTCACCGATTGCGTCACCAGTTGCATCACCAGTTGGGTGTTTTTCGGTGAAATATGGGCACCGGTGGCTTCGGACCGTGACGTTTCTTACGCGCCCATCCGCAAGTTCAATAAGGGGCCGTCCATAAATGACGTCACGCGATTTTGGACAATTTTTGATCCCCCCCCCTCGTCACACGGCGTCACAAAAAGTCAGACCCCCCCTCAAATATGACGTCACAAAGCTCTGCCCCCCCCCCCCAAACCATATTTCCAATTTGAAAATAAAAAATTCTTCAAATCACTTTAAACTATTGTCATTGTAGTGCGTATTTAATGTGGCGCTGCACTCTGATGTTGTAGGAGAAAACATTTATTAAGAAGTCTATTTAATTAAGTAGAACGTGTCGTCCATATTTATTTAAAGTTGCGCATTTGATGTGACGTCACATTTCTCAACCCCCCCCTCGTCACACATCGTCACAAATGTACACTTTTCATCACCGGGATATTTTGGGCCAATGGCTGTCATGTTTTTTTTTGGTGATTTCGAAAAGTGTATTGGTTTAGCCATGTTTGTTTGTTGTAGTACAGAGTTAGACTGATGGCCTTAATCTAAGTTGTCTTGTGGTTGTTGTTGTTTGACTTGCATCCCACTGGATATTTGCACAGGGTTGGTGTACGGTGATTTTTCTGCAATATTTTGCTGTCTTTTCTTGGATTTTCTGTTTGCACTTAGTCACAATCACTTTAAGATGTTTTTTGTTATGTTTCTGTTTTTTGTTTGTTGCGGTTGCACCCGATTCAAGAGCCGAATGGTTCACAGGGCTACACCTAATACATGAACTTGAACCGGGAGGAAACCCGTGCAGAAAAGGGGAGAGAAAGAAAGAGAAGATACTGCCTGCTCTCCGACAACGCGACGAATGTACAAGTGAACACATTTTTTATAACGCGGCCGCGATTTGGATGTACAACGCGATCGAGCAAACGAAACTACGTCGCATGGCTGCATTGGCGTAGCGTCTCACAAGGCGGCATGCTGCTGGATTCTTCTAGATCAGGGGTCGGGAACCTTTTTGACTGGGAGAGCCATAAAAGCCAAATATTTCTAAATATTTCATTGAGAGCCATATAGTAATTTTAACGTATAATAAATGAAATATGTCTTACTTTTAATGCGACTTCTGGTGCTGCATGGTTTTGCTGATGGCCTTGTAGTCTGGTTCGTACGTGGTGAGGTTGAGTTTCATGCAGGCGTTGAGGCCCCGTGACACGTGAAATTTATCTTCAAAACTAATTTCTGTTTACTTTCAAATGACACACCATTATTAAGCAATATCACAAGTATTTGAAAATCAGTTCCAAACTGATTTTTTTTTCAACTCAAAATTGTCTGGGAGCCATATGCCGTCACCAGAAGAGCCAGATGGTACACACGCGCCCCCAGTCTTTGTACGGCCTGTGTACGCATCTCATTTTGTGACCGTGCACCGTGCTTCGCCCAACATGACACATCACTTACGACAACGCGATTTTTCCAAAACGCGGTGTTCTTCAGGAACGAATCGGGAATCGAAGCCAGCGGCTTCTTGCTCCGAGGCGCGGCAGTTACCACCACGCTGCCCAACCAATAACTCCCAACAATCGACGCTAAAGCAGAGAAACCCGGCAGGTAAAGAGGTACACGTTGAAGTTCCTTCGCGCCGTACGAAAGCCAACCGTGTTGCCGTGGGCTCGCCAGGATGTGCAGTTGCATGGAGTCTACGTTACCTGGTTACCAGGTCGCCGTGGTAACCAGGGCGAGGGGTTTACCTTGGCGGCGACGATGCTGAGGCCCAGACCGTGCTGCTTCTTGAGCGTGACGGTGAGCACCTTGGGCACCTGGTGTTGCAGCGAGCCCTGCGTCACCACAACCGCACAAACGCAACAGCAAAAGCGCCGCCAATCACACACCGCCATCGTCACCGTGTGTCAGCGTATGTCAGTGTGTGTGGGGAGCGGTAGTGTAGTGTTTTTCCCTTCTACGTGACTTTACCGAAAGAACAAGAAGATGAATCCCTGCAGTCACAAAAGCTTTAAATCGAAAGGTAGTGTAGTGGTTAGTGCGCTGCGCTATGAACCGGTGAGCCGAGTTCGATTCCCGCTCGCGGCCAACACCGGTGGCGATTATTTGAAACGGCACTGGGCCTCCTGTAGGTCGACTCAGCCTCAAATGAGTACCTGGTGCGGTATGTAAACATCGCCGCTAGGGAGACAAAGGCGGTCGGGCGTGGTGCTGGCCACCCACCCCTCGTGTACCGTTCCAGCCTTCATAGGTGCTCGCTAACAGCACTTGCCCCTACAGTCTGTTAAGGCTATACATGGGATCTTTGTCTTTGTGTGTGTCAGTGAGTTGGCACAGTGTAGGGGGGGAGGCATCTGCTAGTCATCTCACAGTCAACCCACGGCACCTGCGGGGTGTGCCCCGTGACCTCTTGCGAGCAGCGAGCCTGCGACGACACTTCACGTGGCCTCAAAAAACATGCACCTGGCCTGGCACAGGTGCCGTGGTTGACGTCACCGTCACTCAGGAGAATGGCGGGTATTGGTATCAAGAGTGTGTAACCGGTCCTGGACCTCCCTTAGGTCGACTCAGCCTCAAATAAGTACCTGGTGCTGCGTGTAAAAACACTGCCACTCGGGAGACAATGGCGGCCGGGCGTGGTGCTGGCTAACAACTCCTTGTTTTCCGTGGCGGCCTTCATAGGTGCTACTCGCTAACAGGACTTGCCCCAACGGTCTGTTGACGCTATACGGGTGATCTTTGTCTTTGTGCTCGTGTAGGACG